GTGTTTTCCAACCCTTGCTGGCTTGGGCTGGCCAGTGGGGTGGGGGGAAAAGCACACGGATGAAATGCTAGAGGTTAAGTCAACCCATGTTACCACAGCCTGAGTTGGCACCTTCAGTGGAGGGGGTTTTAGTGCAGGCCGGAGATGGTGGTGGTTGTGGTAGGGTGGAAATCTGCCAACTGGTAGCAAATGTCACAGCATTAACAAATGTAGAGTTTGCTGATGCTCGGCAAAACCAGAGCCACCCCATTGTCTTGTTTTCGGAGGAGGCAAATTTCAATGTAAACTGATTGCATATGGTCAGAGAAGTGTCGGCAGAATTTTCATTTCTACCATAAATATTTATGTGCCTTGAACTGATTGGTACACAAGAGGCCAGGCTGTGTAAAAGATAGGAAAAGTAGAGCTAAGAGCATCAATACATTTGCTTCACTTCCATTCTGAAGTCCTATAGTTCAGCGGTTAGAGCACTCGCCTTGCAAACGAGAGACCTGGGTTTAATTCCCGGCAGGGCGAAATGTTAGGCAAGTTTCTTTACTCCACACGCCACTGTTTACCTAGCAGTATGTAGGAACCCAGTTGTTAGTCGATTGCTGGTTCGTTTTATTTGATTTATCGTGTTTTGATCACTCAATCCACGACTGATTTGTGGGATACTGCTGTACGCAATTGGCTGTCAGGTTTTGCCCCAAATACACAGTCAATTCACTTTACAATATATTCTGTGAAGCACTTCGAGATAAGGCGCTATATCAAATGCAAGTTATTATCAATATTATTATTTCTTTGGAATTGAGCTGCTTGAAACAGGTTACGGACTGGAGCTCTTCTGAATCCAACCTCCACTCACCTTTGTTTAACACAAATAGAAACAGAAGCAGGAGTAGGCCATTTAGTCCCTTTTATTTCATTTTATTTACTGCAATCGATTGAAAGTTTAAACCTAAAGGCTCATTTTGATCAGTAGGAGCAGCCTTGCCAGTCCTTTCTTCACCCCCACTGCCCCCCACTGCCCCTCTCCGCTAAAACATCTGGCGGTATTACAAAGCACATCCCGCAGTGAATCGTAAATGTGCTGGATGTTTGCTGGAACACATTTCGCCTAGACATCTGAGTATCTCGTAAAGGAGCCTGTTGTTGCTTTTGCCAAACCGCTGCTGCATTGCGTGAAATTGAAATTAATTGCAGAAGAAAGGGCAGCTGCAGAATCTCCTCACCATCATGAAGGGCAGAGTATGGGCAGGGGGTTGGGGGGGCAGAGGAGAGGAAGGCGATGAACTGACACTTAGATAGCTTCAATACAAAGCTATGGGGAAAAAGTGGGGAATGTGGCTAATTGGGTAGTTCTTTCAAAAAGCTGGCACAGGCACGGTGGGCCAAATGGCCTCCTTCTATGCTGTAGGAGACGTCTTGAAGACATGCTAAAGCACTATATCAAATGCAAGGATTTTAACTATTATTATGATTCAATATCAACAGCTGGTCTGAAAGATCAAGTGCAGATGACGATTCCTGACAGCCACCCTGGCTGACGTATGGCAGTCATGACCAGGAGCCCTGGTTACCCCCACCCCCCCCGCCCCAGTTGAAGGGAGGGGAAGCCAATTATGTAGCATCTGGAGCATCACCCAGTGAGGACCAGACATGCTCTGAACCACTCAGCAATCTGTTGCCTCCCCACAATGGCTCAACTGGTGAAGTCAATACCCAGAGTAAAACTGAACCACACCAGGAATGGAGCAGGGTTTATCCACATTTGCTTTACACAAGTAGTTAGCTGCTCACGTGAATAGTAAGCCATTTGTTCTCTTGTGGGCACATGCTCAAAACACTATTGAGTGTAAAGGAAGTAAGCATATAAAATAGGGTAGTGATCAAATGGCCAACGTAAACATTCTGTTCTCATCTTATTGATGAAATTAATTGACTTCCTGACGTGAATAAGCAAACCTTGGCTGGTTCACTACCTGAACTGTAAGCCTGGGTTATGCTCTTTAACTCACTCCAGGTTGTCTCTTACTTAATCTAATCTGTGCTGTTTGGGATGAAGTTAATTTGAGACCATCTTTGGAGCTGGCTATTTCAAAGGTCAGTACCTAAAATGCAGGTACTAGCCGCTCACCTCTCTCCCTGACCAGTTTAGCAGCAAAACTGAATGGGATCAATGTTTGGATGGATTTGAACCCTCGTGCTGATGAAAGTAAGGTAACAGTAAATCATTATAGCAACCTCACAAAGGCACATCTATGCTGAAATGTCGTTGCAATCCTTTTATGACAAGTAACAATTTAGAGAAATGATTTATTTCTTTAAATGAAGGTAAATGAATGTTATTAATGAGCTATTTATTTAATGTTTTGAGCTGTAAAAGTAAACTGGAGTGTTATTGAAATACGAATTCAGTCAAAGTCATCCTTGCATTTGCTATATGCCTTGACAGACATTTGTTATGTGCAAATCACTGGAATCTTTCACCTATTTAAAAAGTCCAATTTACAACCTTCCTGCAGGCTTTCAAATATTCCTTATTCTTGAGGTTGGGAATAAGGGAGTGCGAAGGTACAAATGAATAAGGGTTAGATTATGTTAAATTCCCTGGGGTAACCAACACGCACAGACACTGCTAAGCCCTACAAATCTCTATAAGGCCTTCCTCCAGCTGTCTCCCCTCCCCCCTCTGCTACTACTCCTCGTTGCTCATTAATTCTCTTCTTCGCTAACCTCCCCCAGCCCCCCATCAGATAACCTGTTTAACTTGGAACTCCCTGTTGCTGATGGGTTCAGACGCCAGCGTTTCACTGTAAATAATTGTTGTAAAACAGTTAGCCTCTTGTTTCAATGGATTATATAAGAACTGGACAAATGGTCCGTCTTATACCTAATCATGCAGCGTAACATACAGCTGTCACTGTCATTTCCATCAGCTTTTGTCTGCGTTTTTAGAAGGCTGTATTACGAAGACCAGTTGAACTGCGCTTTTAATAATGCCAGGCAACAGTGCTAAATTTGGTGTGAGAAACCTTCACATTTGGAGTCTTTTAATACACTTGAAATATCACCTAAATTCCTGGAGATTGTGAGGTCTAAATTGAGGGTATTAAACTACGTTAAACATCGTTGCCATCCCAGTAGAAAATAAATTGGTCATTAAGTTCAATATTGCCAGCTTCAAGTCGGGAAAAATATATTCCCACTGTTGCTTACGTGCCAAGCAAATAATCCAGCCCACAGGTGCTTCCTAGCACTTGTAAGTCAATTGAAGTAGTTTTCAAAGTTGTGCAATTATTTTGGTGATATCTCTGAAAGACAATCAACTCCGCGCACACCTCTCCTCCCACTCCCACTTCGAACCCCTCCAATCCGGTTTCCGCCCTGCCCACAGTACAGAGACTGCAATTGTGAAAGTCTCAAACGACATCCTCTCTATCTGTCACCAGAGCTCCTGGACCTCTCCGCCACTTTCGACACAGTCTATCACGCCATCCTCCTCCAACGCCTTTTCTCCGTCATCCACCTCAGTGGGACCGCACTCGCCTGGTTCGAATCCTACCTCACAAACTGCCAGCAGTACATCTGCACAAACGGCTTTTCCTCCGCTCTCACCTGGTTACCTGCGGGATACCCCAAGGATCCATCCTTGGCCCCCTCCTCTTCCTAATTTATATGCTCCCTCTTGGGGATGTCATCCGCAGAGATGGGGTACACTTCCACATGTATGCAGATGACACCCAACTCTATTTTTCCACCTCATTTATGACCCCCAGTCCCCTGATGTTCTGTCAGCCTGCCCGTCAGACATCAGGAGCTGGATGAGCGCGAATTTCCTGCAGCTAAATGGTGACAAATCGCACGGTTCTCACCTCTTCCACCTACCCGACCTCCCCTAAAACTCTCCGAACCCATCCGCAACTTAGGCATCAGGTTCGACCCCCAATTATCTTCCTTCCCCACATCCAGTCCCTCACCAGCACCGGTCTCCGCCAATATCTCACTCCAAAAGCTGCCAAAACCCTGGTCCGTGCCTTTGTCACCGCTCGGCTGGACAACTTAAATGCCCTCCACGCCAGTCTCCCCTTCACTACCATATATAAAATCCAGGTCATCCAGAACTCTGCTGCCCGCATTCTTACCTGTACCAAACTCCGCTCCCCGATTACCCCAGTCCTTGCCAGACTGCACTGGCTGTCTGTCCCAGAGAGGATCGACTTCAAGATCCTCACTCTTGTCTTCAAATCCTTCCACTGCACCCCCTCTACCTCTTTGACCTCCTCTCTCCTCACAACAGTGCCCGTTGCCTTCGCTCCACCGAGTCTGGCCTCCTCCTTGTCCCCCGAATCCTCCGCTCCACCATCGGCGGCCGTGCTCTGGAACTCCCTTCCTCACTCCCTTCGCCTCGCCCCCTCTCTTCCTATTTTCAGGTCTTGGCTAAAGACCTTTCTTTTTGATCGTGCCTTTGGTCACCTTCTTCCCCCCCACCCTGGCTCGGCCCCAGGATCGGTTATTGTGAAGTGCTCTGAGACGCCATCTGGCGCTACATAAATCCAAGTTGTTGTTGTTCTACTGTGTGGGGAGAAGAGAGTTAATCCCTCCTGTGTTGTACTGTGTGGGGAGGAGGGAGTTAACCCACAATATCCGCTAACAGGCAGACGGATGAGATCTTTCTTGTTTTTAAAAATGGGAGAAACACGGGAGAAGGCAGTGCTATGAACAGACAATACTCCCAGATTTTTATTCTCCTTAAGAGTTGAATAGGCTGGATACCCAGGCTTCACCAAACAATGATAAGATGAATGTTTGGGAGCATAATCTAAGATGGCATAATGGTAAAACCCAGCATCAAGACATGGGATACTGATGACATTTGCAATGATTTCCCCCTTGCAACCACACACTTTGGAGTATATGTTCATGCACTTATCTCAGTTGACGCATTATAATTTGACTATGAATTAATGGCACATTTCTTACCAACCATCTCTTTATTGTATCATTTTCCACAGGGGAGATACCTTTTGGAAGGATGTCCACATATGGTTCATCCAAAGCGGCATTGGAGCTTTACTCGGATATTTTGCGTCAAGAGATGAAAATCTGGGGGGTAAAAGTATCCATTATCCAACCGGGTGCCACCAAAACAGGTACAACTTATCTCAGTTACTCCACACCTCACACAATGTCAACCATAGTTTGGAAGAAGGCCATTTGGCCCATCGTGTGTTTTCCTTGCAATTTTTACATGGAGCAAAATATCATTCTAAATAAAGAAACATGCTGACTTACTAGAGCAGAATCTGGTCAGTTCAGTGCTAACTATTCGGTCCCATTTACCTGCTTTTCCCCAACCTCTTGCAAATACTATACTCCTTTTAAGATATCTATCTAGTTCCTTCTTGAAAGCTAATATGGATTCTGTCTGAACACCCACATCTGATGCATTGTGCAACCTATTATAGTAAATCAGCATTGTTCTTTACTTAGAATGACATTTTACTCCATGTGAAAATTACAACAACAACAACTTGCACCTGTATAGCGCCTTCCACGCAGGGTAGTGTCTCAGAACACTTAACAGTGGCAGAGCCTGACTCTGAGCCATGTGGGGGGGGGGGAAGGGGGGTAGCCGTAAGCACAGTCGAACAGAGAAGTTTTCAGGTGGGACTTGAAAGAGTGGAGAGAGGGTGCAAGGTGGAGGGATTGAGGGAGAGTGATCCAGAGTTTTGGGGCATAAGGGCTGAAAGCACAACCTCCAATGGCGGGGCGGAGGGTGCGAGGGACAAGAAAGAGGCTGGTGCCAGTCAAGTGGAGGCGGCAGTTGGTGGAGTGGGGAGTGAGGAGTGAGGAGAGGTGGGAAGGTGCCAGGGAGTGAATGGATTTAAACACGAGAATGTGACAATTACAGTAAAAAGACTAATTTTAAAGTACAGTCACTGTACTTACAGTATATCCTGTGAAGTATTTTGGGACATCCTCCCAACTTGAAAGGTCTCTACCGAATGTAAGGATTATTATTATTATCAAAGGCAAAAAGCACAGAATATAATGCAAGAAATGGCAGAGTATATCTGGCCTTTGGCAGATCTCCTGTTTGAGTTTGCTTAGCTTGCAAGATACATTTCTCTATAGAGTTTAATGAAAAAAGTATTTCAGATGAAGAACCATCCCCTTGGCCCATTTGATCTCATCCTTCAAAAATGGCCGCCCTAACGGTCATCTGATTATTGAAACTTAACAAGAAGGCCAGTGCCGGGGATCCAACATTTACATTGGTAAAGAACAGGATTATTATTCAAGATTATCGACTTCAAGATCCTCACCCTTGTATTCAAATCCCTCCACTCCTCTGCATCCCCCTACCTCTCTGACCTCCTCTCTCCTCAAAACAGTACCCGTTGCCTTCGTTCCTCTGGATCTGGACTCCTCCTCATCCCCTGAGTCCTCTGCTCCACCCTCGGTGGCCGTGCCTTCAGCCATTATGCCCCGAGGCTCTGGAATTCTCTTCCTCACTCCCTTCGCCTTGCTCCCTTTCTTCCTACTTTCAGGTCCCTTCTGAAGACTTTTCTCTTCGACCGCGCCTTTGGTCACCTTCTTCCCCCTCCCCCTGGCTCGGCCCCGGGATCCGTTACTGTGAAGCACTCTGAGACGTCGTCAAGTTGTTGTTATTATTGAACCAATAAAGTGGCATCCCAGGATGGGTAATACGGAGGAGTTTTTCTGGGAATAGTAATGCAAATTTAACTTTCAGGCTGCAATATTACACTAGGTCATTAAATTGAGGATGAAATGGGTCAGAAGCTGAAAATGTACATTTTCACTTTCCTCAAGTGGGTGTTTCGTTGACTATCAGTGTCCTATCAGTGGTGGTATATCCTCCCAATGTGAAAGGCGCTATATAAATGTAATTTTGTTGTTGTTGTTGTCAGTGGGGATGTGCAATGGCAGTCACTGGCCCTCAGCCGACATGGGATAAGGGTGGGGGGAATAGGCAGGAGATATTATATGATGTTTTTGCTTAACGGGAGTTATTTTGGATGTTTCTCTCGAATTTTCCAGGAGACAATTGTTTCTAAAGGGTCAATGTCCTCAGCGAGTAGGCTGCTGGGGGGGGGTTGTAGTTTAGACCATTTGACTATCCTTCGGTCAACAGTAGGGAAAGAGAAACCAAAAAGGGTTTGCCCAGCACTGGAATGATTTATTTTTTGTGTGTGTTTTTTAAGCTCAAGTTGGCAATGTCAACTTCTGGTGCCAGCAACAGAAACAACTGACGGACAGCCTCTCTCTGGAGCTTCTACGGGACTATGGAGAAGACTACCTCGCCGAAATATACCAAAAGGTTACCCTTCTCGGTTCCAATTTTCATCAGACTATGGACCCGATCATTGACACCATAGTTGCAGCTTTATTAACAGAGAACCCAAAGTCACGATACACAACTGAGTTTGTGATTGATCTGATAAAGGTTATATACTATTTCTTGCCTAATACAGTATCCGATATCATTCTGAATAAGATATTTGTTTCACACAGTCTCCTACCAAATGGGTGTAAACAAAAGTAATTTCGCCCACAGAAGGTATAGTCACTATACTTTAAAATATATCTTGTGAAATGGCTTGAGACTTTTCGAAGACGTGATAAGGCTCTATAGGCTCTATGCTAAACGCAAGGATTATTATTGTTGTAAAAGCAAACAGTAGATCTCTTCTGTTTGTGACCTGTGTAACTTATTGTAGCTATAGTAGCAAAGTAGAACTCAGAAATTGTCAAGCTCGTAGGTCCCAAGAAGCATTTTATGAATTATGAAATGTGCTTTGAACGCTCACAAATTGCAATGTTCAGCTTTGGAAACATGTGTAAAATGATTAGAAAAAACTATATTGTGAATGTTTAGACAAAATGCTTCAGCCTTTTTATATTTTTCACAGTCAATTCACACATAAATGCAAATTAAATGTTGGTCTAAGAGGGTCTAAGAAGCAGGTCTAAGAGGGTCGAATCGTCCTTCTATTCCAGGTTAATCCTGGAGGCGGAGGGCAACCCCACCACCAATCTGCTCCTCCGCCCTCCCCGCCAAGCCTCGCAGATTCTTTCCTCTGACTCTCACTGCGAGAAAATGCTGGACTTCCTCGAGTCCAAAATCGAGAGAATCCGCACTCCGACAATTACCCATCCCTCCTTTCACACCTTTGAACAACAACAACAAAATGATTCTTATAGAGCGCCTTTCACGTCGGGAGGACATTGCAAAGCGCTGAACAGTCAGGTGTCGGGGCCCGAGCATGGGGGAGGAGTGGTGTAGGGGTGAGGGAAGGCAGAGAGGTGAGAGGGCGACCAAAGGCATGATCGAAGAGCCTGTCAACCCCTCCTCTGTCTTCACCACCTTATCCTCCATGAAACCCACCACCTACTCCCTGGACCCCATCCCCACCCCTCTCCTTAAATCCCAGCTCCCCCTCCTTGCCTACCTACCAGCAGCCTACATCATTAACCTCTCCCTGTCATCTGGCACTGTTCTTTCCCCCCTCAAAACTGCCATTATCACCCCCACCTTGAAGAAACCTTCCCTTGACCCATCACAGCTATCCAGCTACCAGCCCATCTCAAACCTCCCTTTCTTATCCAAGGACCTTGAGAGAGCCGTTGCCTCCCAGCTCTGCTCTTTCCTCCCACTCCCTCCATGAACCCTTCTAATCGGGTTTCCGTGCTCCCACTGCTTCCTCGTCCTCCTTGACCTCTCCGCTGCCTTTGACACAGTGGACCATTCAATCCTCCTCCACCGCCTTTCCTCCCACCTCAACCTTCAAGGTTCTGTCCTTGACTGGTTCAGGTCCTATCTTTCACACCGCCTCCACTTTGTCGCAGCAAACAGCTTCTCCTCCAGTCCCTGCACCATCTTGTGCAGCGTTCCTCAAGGCTCTGTCCTCGGTCCCCTCCTCTTCACCCTCTACATGCTCCCCTTGGTGACATCATCCACAGAAATGGGGTAAATTTCAAAATGTATGCGGATGACACCCAACTCTATCTCTCTGCCTCTACCCTGAACTCCAGGACTACTGGCATCCTGACCGTCTGCCTGTCCTACATCAAGTCCTGGACTAAACAGTAGACCTGGGAGCACACCTTGACATACACTGGAGAGATCACAGAACTATCACACAGAATCATAGCTAGTCATTCTATCAGACAAACCTTATTAAAGAATTATAATAATAATAATCCTTGCATTTAATCCACGTCTTCTAGACGTCCCAAAGCGCTTCCCAGAATATGATGTAAAGTGAATTGACCGTATATTTGTGGGCGAAACGTTTATAATATAATTATAGTATAATTATGGGTAGGTTACATTCTAAATGCATATAAAGATTAATTAAAAGCCTTAAAAAATATTAAAAATCCCAAATATAATCTTACAAGGATGCATACTCCATCCTACCAAGCCAAGTCTTCGACCCTCAACTGTTCTTTTTCCCCATATCCTTGACATGACCTGATCAGTCTCCCCATCGCCCCCCACCTCTGCAACATTGCCCGACCCCGCCACTGTCTTAGTTGAACTTGCCACAGTTCATTAATCAACTTCATTTTGAGGAGGGAGTAGATTTGGGGATAATGATTTCACCCACAAATATACAGTCAATTCACTTTACAGTCTATTCTGTGAAGCGCTTTGAGACGTCGAGAAGACATGAAAAACGCTATATCAAATGCAAGGAATATTTATTATTATTATTATTATTATAATGATAGTTCAGGGTTATATGACTGATTTGAGATTCCTCAACCAGAGTTAACAAGTGTTTCCCAATTCTGATGCTCCACAAGACTGGCATGCTTCACCCATGGAAGCAAAAAAAAATTTTCAGGAAGGAATTAGATAGCCATTTGGCAAATAGTTTAATAGAAATGGAATGAAAAACACAGCGTAGAAGCATATAATTATTCTTTTTTTTAAAAAACAATGGTCTTACCAAAGTTCTGCATCCCTCTGTTCCCAATGATCATAATCCAATGTAATGATTGTTATTCATAGTTTTGTGTTAAAGGGGCCAGGCTGCATGCAGGTAGCAGGAATGTACAGCTATGAATGTCCTATTCAGTCTCTGGTTTCAAATCCTGGCCCTGGTGAGTCTGCTTGAAATTAATTGAAACAGATAGCCATTTTGCCACGGACAAAGCACACCACCCGTAAGAAGACTGTTCGTGTTGAGGGGACGCAAAGGGGGAGGCGGGTTGGTCTTACACCATGAGAAAAGAAAGGTCCTAGAAACTGTCAACAATTTATTCTCTGAGAATACGATACTTTTTTCGACAAATTAATTCTAATCCTGAGAATGCATAATGTGTTTCTTAATATAAATATTAATATATGAAGAACTGAAAATAAACAGAGCATGTTCTGAAGGCTGGAGTTTCTCAAAATGTATTAATTGTTACTCTCCGCACTTTGCATTCTGCTTTGCCAATACGATTTAGTAGGGAACTGAATGTTCTTTGGCTTTGTTATCTTGGCTTGTTTGCAGGCTCAGGCCTTGATCTGCTCTGTTTGCTACTCGTAACCTGTGCCAGAGCATTTTTAAATATGAAACTATCACATATAAGTGTTTATCTCCTAATGAGACTTTTGCTGTTGAACCTTGTGTTTGCTCTCAGTGAAGTGAAACACTTGAACAAAGAGGAATTTATTTTGGTATCGGCAGTGACTTTAGTAAATCTTTTCAACCACGGGATGCCTTCAGTGCCTGCCGTGCAGGTTTGTATTATGGTGACAACTCAATCACACACACTTTTCAATGTTATTTGCAGGTACTTGCTCGACAGACCAGTCTGCATATTGGGTCAGCAACTTCTTATTCAATCAGATTTCTATTATCTACACATATATATGGCATCAGTTAAGGACTCGTGTAAAGCTGTAACTATAATTGTACAAAAGTCTGAGATTTCATCCCATCTTGCAAAAGCATACAGTTCCCAGTTTAAATTGGCTGACTGACCCTGCATTAAAAGGTGAAGTGGTTCATTAAGCAGATGTTAGAATGCAGCACTTGAGCCATCTGGTCAACACAACTTGCACTGATACAGAACCTTTCATAATAATCCTAACATTTGACAGGGTGACGTGGGATCTTTAATGTCCGCCTGAACAAGCGGATAGGTGCTTGTTTTAACGTCTTACCGAACAATGGCAGCTCTGACAATGCAGCAACTCCCCAAGCACTGTACTTAAGTGACAGTCTAGACCATGAGTTCAAAGTCCCAACGTGGAGCGTGAACACACAATCTTCTGAAGCGGAGGCAAGGGAGCTACCAACTAAGTCAATCTGACACTTTAAAGCTGTGTAGATGCACAGCGTAAAGCTTAGAAGCTGTGTTGGGAATATTGGGACTGATATTCATTAGCAGGTTTCCCTATTTCTCAGCTGGGTCCATTATCTGGGGGAGGTGATTGTCCTCTAGCTGGAGTCAAATGTGTCTTGTGATGAATCAATAATAATAATAATACTTGCATTTGATATAGAGATTTCCATGTCTTCTAGACATCTCAAAGCACTTCACAGAATATGCTGTAAAGTGAATTGACCGTATATTTGTGGGTGAAACTCAGCAGCTAATTGCGCACAGCAGTGTCCCACAAACAGTCGTGGATTGAAAATGACCAATTTATTGTTTTGTTTTGGAGGTATTATTATTAGGAGTACAAGGAATGGAAAGAGAATAAAGGATTTCAAGAAAAAAGGAGATGTGGCCTGCACAGAGGCAGAATGCGTTGGATCTTAATTTGAGTCATTTAATGTAAAGGACATGGCCTATGAATTGTGACGTCCAAACCCTGTGTTCCCAGGCTCAGCCATACCACTGAGCTGAGGCCAACTGTGAAACAGAGCACGAACCAACTCTAAGCCTCCTGCTCGGTTGAGGAAGTTGGGCGGGGGGAGGGGGGGGGGGGCGGCTGCTGTGGTCAGTATTTTCGATGAGAAAGAGAGTCATTCGCAGCTGGAGACTTCATGAATGGGAAAATGATATACAAAACATACAGACTTTACAATGCCAATTTGGAAACGGTGAGAGATGGAAGACATATTTGGACAAGTGGTACGACAGAGGGCAAAGAAGGTAATGATCTAGATCAGTCCATCAGTTTGCTTTGTACTGCACGCTATAATTGTGTTCCCACAGCGCAGAGCAACACACCTCCAATTACCAGCAGTATTTCTTATATTTAGGAACCATGTGCTACTCCGATGTTGGTGACCCTCCCCTTCCGCACCCCACCCCAGCCCCGCACCCCACCTTCCACTACTGTTCCTGCGAGAGCTTTTGTCACTTCTCACACAGCTCTGTTTGCTACACACAGCAAATTTGATGGTATATTCAGTTGATTATTTTTGTTGTCGTGTACTTATAAATCACTGTAATAAAATATTGGCATTGGAAACCCAACTTATGCCTATTCTCTGGGGTCGGGGATGGATCCTCTAGGGCAGGGGTGGGCAATTAATTTGGCTGGCGGGCCACTTCACGAGTTTTGGTAAGCTGCGCTGTCTACACACTTAATAAAGATGCAAATGCTTAATAATAGCTCAAAATCAAGTCTTA